TTCTTACAACTTGAAGGTTTTAAAGCATCTGATGCTAAAGTTCAGAGATCTTGTGGAGTCCATGTCTTGACAAAACAGAGCTGCACCTAAACCTAAACTATTAGGATTGTGGCTGATCAGTGTATATATCTATATCTATATATCTGTCAAAGAAGGGCTCAGGGGCTAATTTTTATCAATGTCCCATATTGTTTTCAGTACATCCCTGGGGGAGACCTGGCAAATATGAATGAGAAATTAAAAAAAAGGTTTTTGGTATCCATAGGTATACAGATCATGATCCTTGTACTAATGGGGGACTATACCTTGGGTAACAAAGTGATTTTACTGATTAAAGTGACACATGGTAAAATCAATTGTTTCAAGTAGGGACATGGATTCATCTGTTATTGGATGAGCTTGATGTGGTTTAAGGTTGATATATGTGCATTGTACTGGAAAGTGTAGATTTTCTACTATATGTTTTATGATCAAATATTGCTGATACTTTTGTTCTTTTCTTTTCTTTATTTTTTGAGGGGGGAATCATGCTTATCTTCTTCTGTAATTTTGTTGAAAAGCTAATAAAACCTTTATTTGTAAAACAATAAAATAAAATTATGGTTTAATAAAGGGCTGAATTAGACATAACCGCTATTTAAAGGATTCACAAACTCCCTTCAATGCACTTTCTTAAAATCCGAGACCATGTATTTAAATATAGGCATTTTATCACACCCCAGTGCTAAAATTAGAAGAAACTAAAAAATGTCTTTACTTTAGACAATACTCAGAGTCTAAATATATGACACAATGCATAGTGAACATTCCACTGTCACAGCCATGCTGAAACTGCTTATGTCACTCTCACTAAAACAGGATTTGCAGAGAATTGACAAAATAAATTGCAAATTTTATTAAGACACGGAGGCTCGTATTATGCTGCACTCTTTCTTTATTTACCTCAGCAGCAAAGAAAAATAACATTAAATCAGTATAAAAGAAACCAGTAAATAACATGAGGTATATCTTCCTAGCAACAGCAACAGCCAATCAGCATCCTCTTTATAGCATAATAGGCAGTGTCCAGTATACTACTTCCTCTTTCTTTGCTGCTACCTCAGTTAAGTAACACTGGGTCCCATGGTTCTTAACTGTGGGATCTTTTACTTTACTTTATTCATATCATTACTGTGGTTAATATAGTTATTATAGTTATTACATTTTAATTATAATATTTTCATGTTTATACATATATTTAGTTACTTCATTTTAACGTAATTTGATTTATTTACTTCATTTGCTTCAGTTATATGCTTTATTATCTATCCTTTGATAATTTATTTCCCCTCTGACCTCCCAGGCCCCAAGAATACCATCAGTTGGGGCTCAGGGACATCTTTGAGGATCTTTATCCCCTGAATAGTGCCATTGTGCTGTTTTTTCCCTTAATTTATCTGTCTGGCTGCTGCTCTGCCACCAACTGCCAGAAATCTAAGTTGGGGTTTAGTGGTAGTGGCAGCCGGGCAGCTCCTTTGTTTTTATCTTACAATTGCTATTTTTTTTTCACTATTGTGAGTACTTTCATTTCTTTATCCTGTTTAGTTATTTATTTTTACTTGAGGGTTACTCAACCCTTTACTTTTGGTATTATTTTGCTTTATTCAGCCCATTAGGTTTGTTTGTATATTTATGATGCAGTCTGACAGGATCTTTCTGGGCCTTCTGGGTCTACAGCAAACATGCAGATTAATGTAGAAGCCTCTCCAGGTATCTCTGGAGATGAGGCTGAATTTCTGCTTTGCTGATCCTGCTGACATGCAGGCTTTAATTGACACTTCCATGGCAAAAGCAATGACAAGGCCCTGGTGTCAGGCCGCAATGCCTCATATAAGGCTAAAAACACTCCTCCAAAACAATAGAGATGGACAGTACCATACCTGTCACGGATGGCGCGATTAATTTACCACCGCGCAAAAGAGCTACTAGTCGGGCAAAATCGACTAGACTTTGGAAAAGGGCAAAAGCCCTATTAAACTCTGAATCCAAGTTCAGTGATATTGAGGAGAAGTTCACCGAGTTCTATATGGAGGTGTACCTGTACTCACACCTGCGCTGCTTCAGCCTGGCCGCAAGGCCTCATATAAGGCTAAACACTCCTCCAAAACAATAGAGATGGACAGTACCAAACCTGTCACGGATGGCGTGATTAATTTACCACCGCGCAAAAGAGCTACTAGTCGGGCAAAATCGACTAGACTTTGAAAAAGGGCAAAAGCCCAATTGAACTCTAAATCTGAGCTCAGGGATATTAAGGAGGAGTTCCCTGAGTACTATATGATATTGAGGAGGAGTTCCCTGAGTACTATATGGAGGTGTATCTGTACTCACACCTGCTCTGCTTCAGCCTGGCCGCAAGGCCTCATATAAGGCTAAACACTCCTCCAAAACAATAGAGATGGACAGTTCCATACCTGTCACGGATGGCGCGATTAATTTACCACCGCGCAAAAGAGCTACTAGTCAGGCAAAATCGACTAGACTGGAAAAGGGCAAAAGCCCAACTGAACTCTGAATCTGAGCTCAGTGATATTGAGGAGGAGTTCCCTGGGTCCTATATGAAGGATTCAGAGGATATTTCTGATCCTGATTATGAAATTACTGATGAAGAGGATGCTAATCCCGTTTGGGATACACGTCCTGTTAAACCTACCAAGATTTAGGTAGATTATGCAGACTCAGGGACACAGATAGGATCTTGGACACTCAATGTGAACCCCTATTCGAACCTGACGACCTATGTCATCCAGTGGTCTCCTCAGACCATGTAGCCAAGTATATTGGCATCCAGAGTACGCAAGCCTTTTGAGAAGGCAAAGTGAAATAAATTGCGGGCTGAATGGCCACGCCGAACAGTCCCTGATGACTCATGTTAAATGCCATCAGTCAATCCTAAAAGCATTCAATTCCTGAGTAAGACAGGATGGAAGCGATCTAAAGGCTTAGATTTTCATTGCAAAACTGTCAGGATAAAATCCTGGGCATCTTGGGCTCAGCAGCCAAGATCTTTGAAGCAGTGGAGGATGATCTAGAATTAGATTGCGCCATCTTAAGTGGTTAGATCCAGAGAGTGATTTAAGTTGGCAACGCCAACAATGCGGTTGTCACAGAACGCCACAAATCGATCTTGCTCAAGATTGAGCCCAAACGAGCCAGATAACACAGGCAAAAGGTTTTCTCTTTGGGGACAACTTTGTAAAAGAATTGGGCTCCTTTGTCCTGCTAAACAAACAGAAGTTCTTTTAGACAGAACCAAGGCTCTTATACTTGCCGAGCCGATTTCTTTGAACAATGTACTATACCAACCTCCTTCTCACAAAGTGGCCGACCCTGGATTGTTAGTGGCCTAAGAGGTGCTCCTAAGACGTCTTCACAATTTCCATTCTTTCTTACTGATAGTGGGGGGCAGGCTCACACATTTTTCCCATGTATGATCCCTCATTTCATCAGATGCTTAGGTTCTTCACACGGTGAAAGGGTATTGCATAGACTTCCTTTCTCTACTTGTTCAATGTTCCCCATCAAGGGAAATTGTTTTTTCCCACAGACCTTGTCTCTGTGGACAATCAATTGTAGAGATTCTGGCGCATACCCTGGTTTACATGAGCAACCTTTTCTTGTTTCCCAAAAAAGGCAAAGGTATCCGTCCAGTAATAAATTTGAGACTGCTCAATAGTTATGAGCATATCAGCACTTCCAAGATGGAAGGAGAGCATTGTTTAAGGGATCTTCTCCAACCAGCAGATTGGAAGGCCAAACTGGATCTGCAGGATGCATATCTCAGAGTGCCTATCCCAGTACAACATCAAGATCGAGAACTTCCTGCAATTTACATGGTAGGGCAGTAAATAGAGGTTCAGGTGCCTCCCATTCGGACTGTCTTCGGCTCCATGGTGCTTCACCAAGCTCACATCTTATAATATATTTAGATGGCATTTTCATTCTGGCTCAGTCTATTCAATTAATCCGGACATACCTTGCATGGACTTTGACTCTGTTAGAGAACCTAGGCTTCCTGACCAATTGGGAGAAATCCATTATCGTTCCCACGCAACAAATACAATTTCTGGGTTATATTGGATTATTGTAGATTCTACCCTTCAAACTCTACACCCTCCGGTGGCAAAATTAGCCAATATAAAGAAGGAGATAGGCGAACACTAGCAACCTCTCAACTCTCTCTCAAACAACTGTTGAGAATGTTAGGCCTTCTAGCGGCATCTATACAGGCCATTTCTACAGGTCTTCTTGGCTATCGAGCCCTACAACGATTACAAACTTCATCTCAAGGGCAGCACATCATACACAGATATGGTAACTCTGGACTCAGAAGCAGAGAATGAACGCCAATGGTGGCTTCTTCACATGGAAGCTTGGAATAAGCACACCATATTTTGTACAGCTCCAGATTTGATAATCAAATCCGATGCAAGTTTGCACGGTTGGGGTGCTCAATGCAGAACTATTTCCACCAAGGGCAGATAATCAAACCTGGAATCAACACTCCACATCAATTGTTTGGAACACCCGGTTCCTTTGCAGTCCATAGTTTCTCCCCAACTCAAGCCCAATGCGCTATCCTTCTGAAGATGGACAACGTGTCAGCAGTCCGCTACATCAATCACTTGGAGGCACAAAATACAAAATTCTGACCTACATGCCTCGTGATTGCTGGCAATTTTGCCTGAGACACGGCATTTCAGTCACGGCAGAATATATTCAAGGTCTCTCCAACACTATGACGGACTGGTATTCACGCCAACTCGGAGATTCCAGCGACTGGCACTTGGATTCCATGGTCTTCCAAGACATCTGGAACCTATTGGGTCTATTGGAAATAGATATTTTTGCTTCTCGTTTGAATGCTCAGCTTCCCCGTTTTTTCAGTTGGAGACCAGATCCGATAGCATTGGCTATGAATGTTTTCTCCAAGGAATTATGATTTTTTTTGCCTTTCCATCTACATCGCCAGTCCGGCACCTGTTGATCGTGGCTCCTCTATCGCCATCCCAACCATAGTTCTCTTTTCTTCAGGAGATGGTTATCAACCTTCCATCTCTCGAGTGCCTTCTTCAGGATCCAGATGGTGTACCTCATCCTCTTGTTCTCCAAGGTCTCTTACATCTCATAGTGTAGTCTATTTCAGGGAACCTTGGTCGGTCAAGGGAGTTTCGCAATCAACTCCCCAACCTATCAAGGGTGCACCCAACACGAGACAGGCTTATAAATCTGCTTGGAGCAGATGGCATAGTTGGTGCATGAAAATAAATTTAAATCCCATATCGGCTCCTTTTATGTCTGTCCTCCATTTTTCTGACTTCTATGATGACGGTAAAGCCTATCGCACTGTGGACCTTAACGATCGTCCATTTCTGCTGGCCATCAAAGTTTTGATTGGACGCCTGTCGGTTGACATCCTGTCATATATTGACTTCTCTGAGGAATATGGTTTGCTCATTCACCTTTACCACGATACTCTGTCTTGTGGGACGTCTTTATTGTCTTGAATTTTTTATTTATTTTTCTTGCAAGAGGTTTTTCTGACGTACGAGCTCGTGAGGTGGTTGCTCGTTCCTTTACTCCAGAAGGTGTCCTCTTTGACATTTCACGGAGGACAAAAACCTCCTCTAAAATCTATCTTACCCAGTTTTCCCTGATACATCTCTCCTTTGCCCTGTTGCATACTAATGGGTGTGTGAACATCGTTCTACTACGTTACAGAATCCTTTGAAACAGAAACTCTTCCAAAAGTCGCATCTTCCGGTGTCTACTTAGCCTGGTGGGTCAAATACGTTATGTCTCTAGCAGGTATTGATACCTATGTGTCAGTGCCTCATTCGGTTCGTAGGGCAATGGCTTCTAAGGCTTCCTCGATTGGTTGTCACTTGGAGGATATTATGAGAGCGGCTGGTCTTCAGAGTCTACATTCCATGATTTCTACTTTAGACCTATTCAACACTTCACAGGAGACATAATTTCACAGCTTTGAACTAGCATAATAGGAGCCTCCGTGTCTTAATAAAATTTACAGATTTTACTATTAACATCACGTAAAGTCATGATTTTATTAATGATACGGAGGCGGTATTATCCCTCCCTCCCATCCCTGGAGATTTGGTCTTCTCTGGGTAAGTTGACTTCACGGTAAGTCTTTTTTGATTACTGGGTTTTATCCTTGTTAATGACTGTCAAGAGCTTAAGGTTTGACTAAACTGAATTTCATGTTATGTGTATATATATATCTGATATTTCATGTAATGTGAATTTATGCATAAATCCAGTTTTATACTTGAATATTACCATATTCTCTTTTCTCTTCCAGCTTGACTTCTAGATCCAGTTTAAGGCTCGTATTATGGTAATTGGAGGGCTGAATTTATTTGGATTTGTTGTCCTTGTTCGGGATCGCAAGAAAGAGGAAGTAGTATACTGGACACGAGACTATTATGCTATAAAGAGGATGCTGATTGGCTGTTGCTGCTGCTAGGAAGATATACCTCATGTTATTTACTGGTTTCTTTTATACTGATTTAATGTTATTTTTCTTTGCTGCTGAGGTAAATAAAGAAAGAGTGCAGCATAATAGGAGCCTCCGTGTCATTAATAAAATCATGACTTTACGTCATGTTAATAGTAAAATCTGCAAATTATAGATCAAAACTGCAGACCTGGCAAAATAGCAGATTTAGATCAGTTCAAATAAAATAGATATATCCCCAAACGAAACGTACATATAATTATTTTTGTACGTTTTCTTTGGAGGTATTTGAAACCTTAGCCTGCAATAAAGTAGATCTAGTATCTGCTGCAAGCCCTCTCCTTCTTCAAAAAGTCTATACCCAAGATCGACCAGTGAGAGGCTTCTTACTGAAGTTTTGCTGACCAGCAGAGCCTATGCACTGCTGTTTAAACACAGACTTCTCGGTGAGATGTATTACAACTCAATGGCAATTGATTGCAAGGCAGGTAAGCAGGTAATCCCTTCCACTTGAGCTTAACGTAAACTACCCAGAAGAAACACCTTCCAGTGGTCTGATTCCTTTTTTAAAACTGGCACTGTCATAAAATGAAAGATAGTAGACACTCTTTACACATAAAACACTTCAGCAAGCATTATTGTTTTATGTGTTTGGAATGCAGTTTTAACATTTTGTTGTGTTTATGGTCTACAAGCAAGGCCTTGGGGCAGCATACAGGAGAAGGGAAGCATGGCCAATGAGGAGATCAAAGATATCCCTCACGGGCCAGACCATTCTGCTGCTGTGAGGCCATATAAATAGAAAGACTGGAAAAGGTCTCCCTCTTGTGCCTCTGTATTATAGCATTGTCACGGGTTACAGTGACAATGCTCTGATACATTCCCACAGAAGGTGTATGCATCTCCCACCAGACCACCAGAGATCAGGATCCACCCCCATCATGGCCCATTGTAAGCATCAAAGAGGGGGGAATACGCTTTAGTTTAGTTTTCTTTTTTATAAATATGTTTTATTTTTCTTACCCTATTTGCCTACTACAACCCATGTTCCACTCTATAGCCACTATCCACCCACTACATCTACCACTATAAATACTATCTCCCCACTATAGCCCCAATCCCCCACTACAGATATTACCCCCACTGCAGTCACTATCTCTTTACTATAGCCACTATTCTTCACACTACAACCCATACAGTCCATATCCCCCACGAAAGCACTATCCACTCCACAATATTGCCTGTCCTCCCACTACAACCATTATTCCCCCTACCCCATACTCACAACATTAGCCCCTATCCCCCACAATAGCTCCTATTTCTCAGCTACAGCCCCTATCCCTCCACTATAGCCACTGTCACCCCCAGTAGAGGAGGGATAGGGGCTGTAGTTGAGAAATAGGAGCTATTGTGGGGGATAGGGGCTAATGTTGTGAGTATGGGGTAGGGGGGATAATGGTTGTAGTGGGAGGACAGGCAATATTGTCCACTACAGCCCCTATCCCACTACTATAGGCTATATCGCCCATTACAGCTCCTATCTATCTCCCCATTACAGCTCCAAATGCAACATAAGAAGCACCTCCCATACACACAACTCCAAAAACAACATTCCCACACATAAAAAAAACATCACAAGCAGCCTCCACACACATACACATATCCTCTTCCAGCCCAGTCTGTCCCACTTATTATCTAACTACCCACCTAGTTACATCACCATTAATCATACCCCAAACTAGTTGTATAAATGTGTATATATATATATATTGGTTGTGCATTAAGGAAACTGGCCTTGGGGCAGCAAAAAGGGTAAATACGGCCCTGAAGAGCTAAGGAAATCAAAATGTCAAGACACATATTATTAGGGTTTGGTGCTGCATGTATATAAATCCTAAGTCTACCTCAAAAATAAAACAAAAGAGTAAAAAGTTAAATATAAAGAATGAGATGTATTAATAGACTTGGAGATTTGTTTAGTAATGAACAGGAATTTTTTCGAATTTAAGCAAATCGGGTGATCATTTCAATTCCTGAACTCCAAGCTGAAATTTAGTTGACTCACAAACCAAACAAAATGTGCAATGGACAAGCATGCTTGTTTTGATTAGTTCTTCTACATTTTTCCTGTGGTGCCAAAAAGGGGATTATTGATGGGAAAATGATAATTGATGGCTTAGGGCAGTCACTACATTTTTTACACGCACGCACACACACACACACATATATATATATATATATATATATATATATATATATATATATATAATATTAAATATAGAATGTTTACTGCTTCTCCTATTTATCCCTCTATTGGTTACTTTTTCTCACTTGATTTGTGAACCAAATGGCAGGAAAATAAATATGTATTTATTTAATGTATATATTTTACAGTGGTCATGCTCTTTTTATGTTTGTCTATTTCATTTTCATGAATCATTTTTTTTTTTTTTTTGTAAATGAAATTCGACCAAGCTGAACAATCATATGGACAAAATTTGACCACTCCAAAAATATCTGTAAAATTTTTGACAGAAGTATATTGGTCGAAACAAAATTTTCCACCATGCAGAAGTCCAGTTATTAAAGGGACACTATAGTCACCAGAACAACTACAGTGTATTATATTGGTTCTGGTGAGTACAATCATTCCCTTCAGGCTTTTTGCTGTAAATAGGGTCTTTTCAGAAAAATAATAGCCAAGAGATAATTCCACTGGCCACTCCTCAGATGGCTACTAGAGGTTCTTCCACAGTTTCAGTGTATCCACCCTCTGCTTGGAGACACTGAACTTTCATCATAGTGATGCATTGATTCAATTCCTCTCTATGAGGAAATGTTGATTGGCCAGAGACTTTTGCTGGCTCTGCCCCTGATCTACCTCCTTGGCAAGATCAGCCAATCCTATGGGAAATCATTGTGATTGGCTCAGAGAATTACTTCTGATGATGTCAGCCAAGCAAGGGCAGATATAATATAGAAAATTGGGATAAAGGTGGATGCCTAAAGATAAAAATAACAAATAATAGTGCAACACTGTATGTTATAACAGTTATAACAGTGCCCCCACTCAATATGAAACAGATTCCAAATGGAAAAAACGCCTTGAAGTTGCCTTCCCTTATTAGAGAGGTCAAGATCCTCCTCCTCCTAGTAGCCATCCGAATCACAATCAGGAACCAGGAACCAGGTAGGTAGCTATAAACAGATTTTTTTGAAATATCAACTGAAGAAAAGGTATATATAAAACAATACGCCGGTCCTTCGCATTTAGTTTCCGTAGAAAACCAATATATGTGCTGTTACAATAAAAACATTTTCAGTAACAATATGTCATCCTACCCACTCCCGTGCCCATTCCCTTAAATAGGGTGGTTCCTGGTGTCCTCCGGTGTATAAGGGGGAGTACCTATTCCTTCTCCCAATCGGTTTTCTCCAATGTTCATCTCGGCAGCTGTTTCTAATAATTCCGTTTGTGACGTGTAATTCCATGTTCACCTTCACTTCTGGTTGTGTTCCACCGCCTTCTTCCTTGCGTTTCAAATGTTGAATGAAGCTTTATTGTCCATATTCTCCCAAAAACCACACAAAAACCACACAAAAACTCCGGGTCTTATTGCTATCTTTAGCTCTAATGAAAATAAAAGATCTTGATTATAAAAGAGGACAAAGTTGAAATTAGACATAGAGTATATGTGTCATGGAATCAATTGCAATGAGTATAAACTGATTATTTAGCAGGTGCTTAGATTAGATTATATGGATTGCCCCAAATGACAAGCTCAAAAGCCGCTGATTGGTAATAACATTGTTAAAAATTATTCCAGAAAAAACTCTTTTTGCAGAATAGTGGATTTCAAATAATTCCCTATCATAAGCTCATAAGGTAAAAAAATACACAATTGTGAATTTTTTTTTATATATATAATTATATAAATGGAATAATGGGTTTTTAGACTCTTTTTATATACAAAGACAAGGTACAGCTATTGGAACTAGGTTTGCCCCCAGCTATGCAAATCTTTTTATGGATGGCTGGGAGTCAAAGGCTATTTGGGGTGACCACCCATGGAAATCAAACCTAGTTACATATTTTAGATACATAGATGATCTGTTTTTTTTATTTGGAAGGGGCCTGAAGATTCTATTAAACAATTTCTTAATTATTTAAGCATCAATAATAGTGGCATAATTTTATCTTCAGAGTACAGCAAAGAACTGATTAACTTTTTAGACATTCAGATTTTTATCCATGAAGGTAATATTAACAATAAAACTTATTTTTAAAACGTATGTACCAACACAGTTATTGAAAAATTTAGTTGCCATTACCAGCCTTGGCTACATGGGGTCCCCAAGAGTCAGTTCCTGCGCCTTCGAAGGAACTGCTCCCACAATAAAAATTTTGAAGAACAGTCTAAAACCCTCAAAGAACAATTCACCAGCAAAAATTATTCACCCTAAAACCTGAATAAAATACTAGATACTGTAAAACAAAAAGACAGGAAGAATATTTTAGAATATAAAACAAAGATTAAAAGAGACCTACCCTCTTTGCCAGTCATTTTTAACTTTAACACCAAAAGCCAGATAGTGAAAAAAATCATCAAGAAACACTGGCACATCTTAAAACAGGATGAAATACTTAAAACGCTTATCCCAGACAAACCAGTGTGATTTTTAGAGGAGCTCCTAATTTTAGAACTATTCTTACCAAAAACTATACAAAAGATCCTACTACCGGTACTACTAGTTCATGGTTTTTAAATAAATCTAAAGGTTGTTTTTAAATGTAACAGATGCATTGTTTGCAGAACCAGGGCCAGATTAAGAGCCCAGTGGACCTAGTGCTGACAATTATGATGGGCCTAATTACAGAATCTTATCGACCAAAAACACTAAAAAAGTCATACCTACCAATCGTTATGTATCTGGCGGAAGTGGAGCTAAAGGGATACTCATAGGGTGCAGCAATGAGAAAACACACACTCTATGCTAATCTCTCTCTAATTTATGCTTTCATCTTTCAAGTAAATCCATACCCCTAACAGTAGTGTCTAGTGAAGCAGGCAGTCAATGGACGGGGTAAAAGGGTGGGCCACTGACGCAAATCATGTAATCAGAACTGCCGAATGAGGCAAACATGCCTTAAAAAGGGGGTGTGTCTGCCTAAAGAATTGCAGGCTGGCAACTAAGGGCATACTATGCAGACAGCACCCTGAGCTTGGCATAAATGCGTCTAATGATGAGTTTGCTCAACGCTTTCCCCTAGCACTCGCTGGTCCATTCCTCTCCTAACCTCCTTACTAGCAGGCAGAAGCTCCTGGTATATAGTCTGGGACAGAGGAAAGCAGTATGTAGTGAGTGTAGAAGAAAGGGAACATGCCACTGTGTTAGAGAGACTGAAGCAGCAAGAGTATTTGCATAGTGAGCAAAGTCAGCTTTACCTTAACTAATTTCATTGTCAGCCAGTGCACACAAGTTTTGTTCCCATACATCCCTCTAAAGTTTCCATGCTTAAGCAAGAGTATGTGAAGGATAGTTAGGGTTGCTACCTTTCTTGGAAAAAAATACCGGCATAATTAATTATGTATGCATGTAAATCACAAGTAGTGACCTAAGAAAAAATTCTGTAAAATCACCAAAAAACTACTTACATTTATTCTGCTGAATAAAAGATGGATTGTTCCTAGTGTCTCCCTGTCTCCCAGTGTCTTAGTGTCCCCTAGTATCCCAGTATCCCCTAGTGTCTGTGTCCTCTATGTATTACAGTGTTTCAGTGCCCCATGTGCCCCAGTGTCCCCATTTCTCAGTGTCTTCTACGTATCACAGTGTCCCTATGTATCACAATGTCTCAGTGCCCCATGTGTCTCAGTGGCCCATGTCTCCCAGCGCCCCCTCATGTCCCCATGTTGTCCAGTGTCACTTGGACACTAGGGGACACTTAAGACACATGGGAACACTGTGAGACATTGGGACACTAGGGGACACTGAGACATTGGGACATTGGGAGACATGTGGACACAGACACTAGGGACACTGGCTGGGAGATATGGAGACACAGAGACTTGGGGACATTGGGAGACATGGGGACACATACGATAGGGACACACTGTCTCAGTGTCCCCATGTCTCCCAGTGTCCCCAAGTGCCTAGTGTCTCACAGCATCCCCTAGTGTCTCAGTGTTCCCAGTTTACCCAGTGTCCCCATGTCTCCCTGCAGCCTTTACCCCATCCCTCACTTCCCTGAGCTGTAGGCTGTCTCTGCAGGCTGAGAGCTGCTGTCTGGACTCTCCGTGCTGTGTAGCTGCTTCCCCACGGATCAATGAGTAGAGAGAGGCAGGGAAAAGTAACATCCTATCCCTGCCTCTCTCCACACACAGTGAACCCCTACTGGCCGGCGCAGGTATTGCAGAGTAATCTCTGTTTATACATAGAAATATGCAGGCATTTGTATTGCCGGTTTTACTGCAATACTGGCACTGGCCATGCAGCCTAAAATACCATAAAATACCAGTCAGGTGGCAACCCTAAGGGTAATGTGTAAAAAATAAAATAAAAAAGTTACAAAAAAAATTTAAATATTTTTTTTTCAAATCAATGGGCCTATTCCATGGGCCTGGGCCTGGGCCTGGAGCTGCAGCTCCATCATCCCCTATGTTAATCCGGCCTTGTGCAGAACCATGGACCCACAAATCAAGTAAAAAACCACGCACTTTACTTCTAATAATACTAACACATTATATCCCATCAAAGATCTAATATGCTGTAACACAAAAAATTTCATTTACTTACTGGTATGTACTTCCAGTATGTAGGAATGACCACTAGATACCTAAAAATTAGACAGGTAGATCACTGTCGGAACATCATCAAAGGTTACCCTAACCACTCAGTATCAAAGCACTTTATCAAACATGATAAAAAAAACAAACATCTAAAATGTATTGGAATTCAAAAATGTAAAATACCGTGGAGGGGAGGTGATTTAAAAAAACATTTGGTTCAGAAAGAAATGTACTGGGTGTTCCTGTTAAAAATGCTTGCCCCTGAAGGTTTAAACATTGATTTTGATCTTTTTAACTTTTTATAAATTTGCATATTCTGTTTTGTTTATAATGTAATACAAGTATACTGTTATTTTATTTTATTGTATTTTAAATGTATTCTAAAAAAAACCCTGGTCTGAGTAACCGTATTTGCACTTGTTACTTGTCACATATATGTTTTATTCCTTCCTTCCCTCCTTCCACTTTCTTTCATTGCCCTCCCTAATATGGCTGACACATGTTTCATTTCCCTCCGTAATATGGCTGAAACATGTTCTATAATAAAGTTATAAAAAAAAAAAATCAAGCAATCTGAGGTCTATATAAAGCCAGTGTTGTCAGGTACATGACATGAGAAAGCCCTAAGGGGAGAAACGTGTTGTGGTATTGCAGTTGCTGCATTTTATTAAAGATATCTTGGCCACTTTCAACTGTGAGTCTGCTTTTATTGTTCCAGTGAGAATTTTACTCCAAAGAATCCTTGGTGTGGATTATACCACTCAAGCTTTATTCATTGAGCAGTCTGCCTGCTCAATAAAATGTGAGTAACCACTTGGTATTTTATTATTTCACCTCTAGCTTTTATACAATAAGCACTATTATTTTTTCTTTTTATATCATATGGTCCTTATACCAACAAGATATCCATCTACTACAAAACTTCACATACCTAAGTGGTGATTTTTTCCCACTCTATGCCATTCACACTAGAGCTAGTCTTATAGATCTGAAACACGTGAGTAGGACCATATAGACCTCTTACAAAATAGTACTTAGTACCTGTTGGGATATACTGTATCATTATTTGCTGTATTTTTATTTATTTTAAATGGATCTCACTAATATCCCATGCCCATACCTTACTGGGAAATACTTTCCCTGACAAGATTGTGATTGACTTCTTATAATAAGTATACACTAACATTTATTGATTATTATTCCAGATGTTGCATGACATCTCTCATGAAAGACAAAGAAGAAACTGTACAGATGTTACAGGCATAAATTGCAAGTGTTGAGAACAAGTTTAGGAGAAAGCCTTAAGTACTTCTAACAGACAATGGTGGTGAGAACACATCACACCATGTTAATGAACATTTAGAAGAGAAATATCAATCTCATGCAGTA